GAGATTCTTGGAAGTAGTCAAAGAACAGTCCGCAGGCTGATCAGTGGGCAGCCAGATTTGAGATTGTCTAAGTCGGGCTTTGGTAGCCAATCCCGGGCGGCAGTGCAGACTGCCAAATGTGACCATTTTTTTCCGGACACTCCATGCGTCAGCTGCTGAGCCAATGCCAGAGGAGGCCCAAATGTACCCCAAGGCAAAACAACTGGGCAGTCATTCAGGAGTTCAGGTGTCCAGGAGTTCAGGGGTTCAGAAGAGAGACATGACCAGCATTGATGCATGGGAGCATTGGAGCTATGACTGGCTCAGCATGCCTCCAGCAGATGTTCAAGCAGCAGAGAAGGCTCATTGTGGCACCTTGGGCTTGCCTATAAGATACATTCAACATCAAAGGTTGATTGATCTATACTGGCAGTTTACAGCTGAATGGGACATTCATGTTGAGAGAAATCCAGGAGATGGTGAGTGCCCTGCTTTCCAGACATTTGCGAAGCGCTATTACAGCCACTGGCGCTATGTGCTGGTCATGAGAAAGATTTCTCAGCATGGTCAATGCAAAACCTGCTTTGACTTTCATTCTGTGCTCAGGAGCCCAAAAGCTGATTGGAGCACCAAGGTGCCTAGGCCAAATCAGCTGGTAAATATTTTGTCGGTTTTATTTATTCACTTATTGTTAATGTTGATGTGGCAAATAAATCATTTCTGGGCCACTCCAGCCAAGATTCGAGCTGCCCGCAGTCTTCGAGAGCATCAACGACACCAGTACTTAGACCGTACACTTTATTGGGGTTTACGATTCTCTTCAGTGCACGACCAGGAAGTGCTGACTGTGATTATTGATGGCATGGGTAAGTGGGGGACAGCATGGCCCCATTTAGGCCAAGACAAGCCTTCCAAAGAGCTTGACAACATTGTCCGCCCAAAGCTTGTGATCACAGCTGCACTATGCCACGGATGGGGGACCTTCTTGTTCGGCACATCAGAGCTCGAAAACCATGGAGCTGAGCCTTGCTAGGTAAAAGAGCAATCTGGTGTCTATCAATTTTTCTTATTTGGTTTCCAAGAAAAGCTTGAAGCAGCCCAAAGCTGAGGATCACTGGTGTGAGGTGGTTTGCCGTGTCCTGGACATGGTGTGGAAGATAGCTGAGAGGGATGGCCGGAGAGTGCCACCTCATTTAGTTCTTGTGGCTGACAACACCCCAGCACAGTGTCACAACCAGCTGGCCATGAGACCTTTGATTTACCTCACTGCCAAAGAGTACTTCACCTCCATCACTATGTTCCACCTTATGGTGGGACATACACATGAGGCCACTGCTCAAATCCATACATTGGCCACAGCTTCTCTCAGCCTTTTGCATCCTGCCAGGATGTTGACCAGTTGTTTGGTGTGATCAAGGACTGACTGGGTTTGTATGCTGCACTGATTTGGCAACTCACAATTTAACTTCATAGCCACAGCCGAATTGCTCTGGTTTGCTTGCAAAAGCTGTTGCAGGCTATACTGATTGGCCTTCGCAAGTGGCAGACTCCAGATGCCATGCTTGATCACATCAAGGCAAAACTGGAACCAAGGGTCGCTGCCCGGAAGGAGGTGCTGATGACAAACATGATTCAAGGAGTTCATGACTTCAGTGCTTGGTTGGACCCACTGGGAGTTGATTTGCCCTTAGTTGGCTGTGAAGCTGCTTCCTTTGTGGCGCAACATGGTTTGAATTTTGTGTGGCGCTAAGGATATTTGGAACTGCTTCAAGCCTCGTGCTGGCATTCCCACCCCTCATTGCTTCATGTGCATGAAGGGCAAGAATCTGCCAAGAAAGTATGCAGTGATGCTTGAGGAGCCAAAAGAGGATGAGGCAGTCTACTGTTGCGTCAAAGGCTTTGTCCGTGACACTTGCTTGTTGCAGCCGCCTGTTTACCTTTCACCACCTGGACGACATACTGCCATTCGAGAAAGCCAGCCTGGCCAGCTCATTGGCAAGAAAGAAATGTCTGAGAGTGAGATCCAGAGCTACATCAAATTAGCTCAGTTGTGCAAAACCAAGTTTGACATGCCAGAAGCTGCGGATGCGCTTCACAAATTTGTGCATGAGAGACACTATGAGAGTGTTCAGTTTCAGTTTCTTGCCCACCCACATAGGGCAAGATATGGTGTAGTTAGGGAACAGCCAGCTGGCACCAACATTCATTTCCCTTTTTTTGCCAGACACAACCTGGCATATGTGTGCAAGGGTAGCTTAGCCCAGGAGTTCAGGTGTTCAGCATTTCAGGGGTTCAGCACTAGAAGGGAGTGCTGATGGGAGACTTACTGAGCCACGAACTGCAGCAAAGAATCGAGACTTGCGTACAAGCTGTGAAACGTTTGAGCCTACAATGATTTTTTTTGTGCAACATAGGTTGCTTAAGCTAGGGGTCTCCTATTATTAGGTAAAAAACAGTTCAAAATAAAAAACAGTAAATATGTTTTAGAGGAGACCCCTCCCTAGATTTGCAGGGTTGCAATTGAGCAATGCTGTTGAGAAACAATCAAGCAGCAACAGAGCATGTCCTTCCAAGCCTTGGCTCCAGGAGTTTGTAGGAGTTCAGGTGTTCAGTGCAGAGCCTTGTGGAATGGCTCTTTCCACTGAGGCACATTTATGTTTTTGAATTTGCTGGCTTATGTGTTTCTTGTTGCTTGCCACGCCCAATCATGCCAAAGCCAGGAGAAGTTGAATCAGTGGTATGGCAAGATCTTTGCACAGCTGCAAGCTGACATGAGTGACAGCAGTCTTGCTTCAGTGCATGAGTGGATGGAGAGAACTTTTCCAAACACAACTGCCAAGAACCAACTGATGACAGATTTTTCCAATCTGGAGTCAGAATGCCGAAAGATTTTGGCAGCCCCAGACAATGGAACAATCACTTCTGATGTTCCAGAAGTTCTGGTCCACAATGATGTGCCAGTCCGCTTCAAAATCAGGTTGCACAACTTTGGCTTCTTGGAGGACTCACAGCTGAAGGGGCCAGTTCAGTCTTATGCTGTGAGCCTTGGGTTGCATGCATGTTTGGCCAAGCATGGGCATGTCAATATCCATGTTGCTAGCTTGTTCAGCAAGATTCCAGGATTGGTTCAGCTTAGGAGGGACAACATCCAGAAGTTCATGACCAATCAGAAGGGCAACCAAACCAACAAATACCCCCTGGAGATCCTCTTTGACTATGTTTGCAAGCTCAACCAGCATCCAGTGAAGCCAGGTTCAGTGATTCCGGCGTTCAGCATCGCCATGTTCATTGGCAGCTCGACCATCATGTCATCATTCTTGCTGTGCATCTATGCTTGCAAGCTCAAGATTATTGGCGCAGTGAAGGGCGACCTAAAGCTCGAGCGCGAGGTGGCTACAAGGTTGCTGAGTTGCTTGGTGATTCACTGCACAGCTGTTACTGCCACCAATCATGATCAGGCAATGCTGAATGCATTTGCCCAGAAGCGGGAGGCTTTGACGCGCGTCCAACCTTCTTTGTTCCAGCACTACAGTGTCTACCAAAGAATTCTGGCCAAGAGACCACCAGCCAGAGGGCCTTGGTCTCAGCTGTTTATAACAAGTTTTGGCTGCTTTCAGGAGTCCAGGAGTTGAGGAGTCCAGGAGTTTCAGTTGTTCTTCACTTGTGTGCCTGAGGACTCGAGATGCGCATCTCCGCAGCATCATGGTGGAGCAGAACAAGTTGAGTGTCACTAAAGCCAAGATCCACAGCAATGAGATGACAGCGATCCTTTTGCTAGATTCAGCTGGTCCAGGTTTTCAGAAGATCATTGCCAAGGCTCACATGGCTGACCAGCCGCAGGACACTGCCTTTCCCCTCTCGCTCTTGAACAAAGACTTCCTGCAGCCGACTTTCCCCAATCCAGTGAGACTTGGCTTCACAAGAATGCATTGGCCTGGATCTTTTTGATGGATTCAGATCTTGTTTGTTCCTGATGTTGCAACTTCCAAGGAAGAAGGAGGATAACCCCCTGTGGCATGCCATCCATGAGCACAGCTGGGACAAAGTCACTACTTGGGCTCAGCGTGTTTCAGGAAAATGGGATCACCGCATGCAGCAAGCCCTGAAAGCTGGCCAGGCGTTGAGCTACAAGAATGGTGCAGTGGCCGCCGACATGCGTGACAGCGGCAAAGAGTTGAATGTGTGGTACATGGCACAAGCCATGTGTTACTTTGATGACCATTTCCAAAAAGCTCTGAAGCCAGACAGATTTGACCAAGTCAAATCAGATTGGCTGGCTGGCAAGCTGGACACACAGATTTTGCCAGCAGTCCTCGCCAAGAGAAAGGACTTCCAACCGCGCGACTTCCAGTTCGTCTTGCTGGAGCAACAGGATGCCTTGTCTGGACTGAACTTCTTGAGTTTAGGCAGTTCAGAGAAGCAGGAATCCCTCCAACGCTTGCACAAGCAACTGGGGCAAGAACAGAAAGCCTGGCGAGCCCACATGGCAAAGGTCAAGGCGCATGAGGACAGCTCCATGGGTTCCTTCAACCGCCAAGTATCTCGACAACAGGAGGCCTTGGAGGAGGCATGGCAGGAGCAGAGCACAAAGTTCATTCAGGTGTTCAGCTGTGCAGATGTTGCTGGTGCAATACTCCTGGTCAATCAAGCAAAGGCCATGATTGCTGACGAGCAGCTGAAGGATGCAAGTGGCATCCCATGTATTTTTGAATGGAACTTTCCAAAGGCTGGAGCAAGAGCCAGCAAACTGATCCCAGCAGTGGCAAGCACCATTGCAGTGTCATGCAGTGAGAATCCAAAGACAGTCATCCATGTTGTCATTCCACCCTGCCAGCCAGTGTATGGCAAGGGAGACTCTGCTGGAGATGAACGAATTGCCAGCATCGAGGACCACGTGAACAATTTGTGGCAGCAGCTCAACGATCCATCCCACCGTCTTTCTGTGCGCAAAGTCAATGCACTGTGGAACTCAGAGACCTTTTACTCCTCCGACAGAGAGTTGGGTTTTGAGGTATGGCTTGTCCTTGCAGAGTCGACCAGGGATGTGAGCAAAAGCACCCGCTCCTACAACAATGTCTTTGGCAACAGCAGCCTTCTCAAGAGAGGTGCCTTCCCCTTCCTCCTCAATGCGATGGAAAGGAAAGATTTTCAGAACTGGAAAGCCCCACTGGGGTTTGACCAGGGCAAAGTGGCCCATGGACAGGACACAGCACAGTGGTTTTCAGGAGTTCAGGTGTTCTGTAGTTCAATCACTGAGCTGTGCAAGGGGTCCATTCTCCAGAAGGATGATTTCCTGCTGGTGGCCGACATGCTGATGTATGACTCCGAGCCTGGCAAAGGGTGTGTGGAGCTGAACTGCGGGAGCAACAAAGAAGTCCCTCGCCTAGCCTTTGTTGGTGTGTCTTGGGCACATGAGAAGGGTGTGATCAGGACTGGAAGTTCAGGTTTTAATTTGATATTATTTTTGTTTGAAGGAAATATGCGCAATAATAACAGCATTGAAGTCGACTCACATTGCATTTCTTATGTTTTGAGCTGGCAGGAATGTCATTGCAGAGAATGTGAAAGAGGACCTGGCTTCAGTGGTCAAGGTGAAGATCCGCAGCAAGAACTACCGCATGCCCAGCACTGTAGCGATCCCAGAGGTGGTGAAATCAGATGCTGCAGATCCGGCACCCAAGTACAACCCTGATGACTTCAAGCTGACTTACCCAAGATCGAATCTGCAGCTTCCCTTGCTCCAAAAGGTGGTCACGGAAGGGGAGTCGTTGCAGGTCAGCATGCCTGACCCAGAGAATCCTGCAGAGTTGCTGACTTTCCCAAAGCTGGTCAAGATTCACAATGATGAGTTCAATCCTTCAGGGCAGCCATGGAACCCTGACCAAGGTCAAGGTGAAAAACGCAAGGCCGAGGGGGAGCCTGAGTGTGGTCCCAAAGTGGTGGTGGAAGTAGTTTCGCCTCCAGATGGCTTGATCCCTACAGGAGTGCAGGGTGCAGATGGTGCCTTTCAGTTGTTTCTGGACCCCAAGGAAGCAAGCCTTTATTTGCATTGCGCCAAGGATTCAGCAGTTGGTCCTGATGAAAAGCCTTGGTTCTATTGCAAAGGATCTTTCAGAGCAGGCTCCCAGGCAGATGCTGAAATGAAGAAAGCAGGGGCGCAATTCATTGATTCAGCTATGACCAAAAGCACCAAGGTCCTTGTGCAACAGATTGGTTCTGCATTGGAAATTCCACAACAGCCCACCCCATTGGGGGCTGTGCTTGAAGCCTTTTCTAGCCTCCGCCAACCCGTTGGCCAAATCTTCAAGCACAAGTGCACTGATTCAGAGGTGAAGGCCACTGAAAGCATTTGCTTTGTCTTGGAGATCAATACCAAGCCTGTGGCCCCCAACAAGCCCATTGAGCCCAATGTTTTGTCCACCTATGTGGAGCTCTCCAAGCACAGTCACATTGAGGCTGTTCAGAACTTGAAATATGCAACTTGGCTGCTAATAAATTCAACAATGAACTTTGAGGCCGTAAAATGCACTTGATCAGCTCTCTGACATGTCAGGAAGCCGAGCAC